AATCGAATTGCGGCTTTGAAAGCATTCCAAATTAAATTAAGACAAACTAATCGGTCTTATTTCTGCAGTTTAGGTGATAAACTAGTTTGTCATGAGGACAGAATATTTTCACAAGTCGATCAAGGATGTTTGAAGACAGTTGGAACCTGTGGTGCTTTTCGTCTTGATGAGAACAGAGTTTGTTTTGTTTTAGGCCTCGAGGAGACGCTAGGGTAGCCATGTGAAGGTTCTCAAAAGTTACATCATCTCGACCTAACACATTGTAAAGAAGATTCAATTTGGCCGCGTTGCTGATTGGATTGCAGTCATTATCGGAAGAGAGCTACTTATGTGACAGAAAAAGTAAGATGTTGCTGATTGAAGTTGCTGATTGAAGCCGGCCAAGTGTGATGGGTGGTGTTCAGGTGAGGAGTCTGTGTAGAGGACTTCGTTTGTGGATTCTGGCGAGAGAATGTTCGCTCAATTTGGTCACGTGCAGGTTTGAGAGCATATAAAAAACTGAAAAACTCTAGATTAGAACAAATCATTTTATATTATCTCAACAAATCTCAACTTCAAACTTCATAAAAGTGATGCCTAAATATTTTCACCGTTTGCGATTCTATTGAAATACAGAGCTCTACAGCCTAAATTGCTTATGCCGATTTCATCTAGTCGTGTTTGTATGTTTTTACAACAATTTCAAGTAAGGACAGTGTTCGAAAGTCTATTCTGATGTACATATTGTTAAATTTGACCCTTGTGCAAATAATTTGATTGTGTTGCTCTGCAAAGTTTAAACTGAACCAAGTTAGATTGATGTTATACAATTAGTTAACAGTTCAAATTGTCCATAACTTGCATCATTATGTCAACAGTTAGCCTGGCTTTGAATATGGAATAAAAAATGGATTGTGGGAAAGCGGCCAGTCAGTTTCTAGTCTATGTTATAGTCTGTTTTTACAGTTCTTTCCTTGGCTTCTAGTTCATTCGAACTCTGTGTGCCAAATGTTTTCATGCGGGTATTTTTCTTCATCTGTATAGATAGATATACTCTGCACTTGAGTGTTCTTCGTGGACAGTTTCTCGAACGGAATGCAATTAATGTAATTTTCGTGTTTGAAGATAATTGACAGAAATTTATTGACTGCGACCCAACCTTTGCCTTCGTTTTTTCCTTAAGGGCAACTAACGTTTACTATTGACGTCCAATTTGAAGAAATAATTGTGATTTGAATGTGGACGAGTCTGTTAATTTAGCTATATGAAGAATTAGTCTTTTTTGCCCGCTGGCGGGTCATACTGTCAAATTTGAGCAAATCGCTATTCAATTTAATTCAATAATTAAAAGTTTATAATGATATATCCAAACTTTAGATGTTAAATTGTTCTTAATAAAGTTGTCATATGAAATCTTCGTTTAAAAGTGTTGTAGATTTTGCACTGCAGTTTAATCTTTTTCACGAAGTTTTGATAACATTTTTCTTGTTGCAGTAGACATTAAATGTAATAAATATTTGCTGAAATGTTATGAAGTGAGTGGATATTTCCAGCTTTTTCTATAATCCATCTTGAGAGCTATACGTTTGTGGGAAACTGAAAGTTGGCCAGAAGACTGAACACTTGTAAAAGCATAATAAAGAGTGATTCAAATGATGGCGCTGACCTGCTTAGCAGTAGTTGTAGGTTCAATTCAAGCCAACTTGGTTCACCTCTCAACGCAATTGCTACTTTCCAATACTCCATTACCTGTTGATTATCTCAATTTGAATCTATCGCTGTTTCGTTTCGTTTTTTTTCTGTTCTATTCAAATACTCTTTCTATGTACATTTGTTGTTATCCGTAGTATTACATTACTAAGCTACTGTGATAAGTGTGGTTGCTATTTGTTCAACCAACTATTGTAGAATAGCTATTGAAATATTAAAAATTATTATTGATATCAAGTGCGCTAATCACTTCCATCCTCGAAATAAAATGTTCAAATTGTCGTCTTTTTATAAAGTATCTCGTCCCTAAAAATGAAATAAAATAGCTGAGTGTTCAGCTAATTAGTAGATGCAACTATTTAGCAGAACTGGTCGGAAATGATATCTCGCAGGGATTGTGCAGGTCTGCAAAACTAGTAGTAGTCAAGCATGACTCAGCCTTGCAGATTGCTCTGACGTAATTACATTTTAAGCGTGTTGGAAAAAAGCATTGAATTTTTTGCATGTAAAACGATACTGCTTACATCAGGGCACAGCCCTGATTGTTCAGATTACCTTTAAAGGTATCTAAAAAGAATTGGTTGAGATTTGAATTTAATTTACAGTTGACATGACAATCTTCAAGTCACACCATCTTCAAGTGGTAAATACAAAATTCTGCAACCCGTATCTATCTACTTACAGATACATGTATTTGGATCAATTAGCGTGCTTCGATTCAATTTGAAGTGAGTTGATCCGGGTTTACGCGTTAGATGACTGCAAAGTAATATCTTGCATTGATTTTCCCAAATTGGCCTATAAAAAATTTTCGAATCATCAAAAACCTGGTGAAAAATGATCGCTGGTGAGGCATTATTTCTGTCATCAAGCTTCACAAGAATATATCTGTGGCTTTGTATTTTGCGCGAAGCTGCGCGTAGCTTTTGTGTAAACTGATGTAATTGGGTTGGTTGCATTCTCTTAAATTCAAAAAGTTTTAAGGATATCTAATTTTAAAAAACGATGAATGCAGTTCATAATCCTAGTAAAGTTGCGATGAATTTTTTTCAGGAAAAGACTTGAAAATTATTAAGCCGCAAATTTAGTTTTTCACGGTCTGTCTTTTGATTTCTGTTTAAGTTCAGCTCGTTTCTTTTGTTAAAAGGAAGGAGCACTCCACTATCGCACATCAAAATTTCGAAGGTTATGAAAAACGTGATATCCTTCGTTTCGAAAGTGGGCTTTAATTTTCGGATTTCCCAGTGGAATGGAAACTTTTATGTATTGCTTCAGTATTATCGGTTAATTTCCATCAAAAACGTATCTAACAAATTGTTCTAGAAATTCAAAGAATGTTAAGAGCATCTGTTTTTTTTCTTCAAAATTTTCAACAACTAGGTCATTTTTTTTCTGTTTTCTTGCATTCTTAACTTTTTCTGAAAAAATTGTCACCGACAATTTTTTATGCAAAACTTTTTTAAAATCTCGATCGAGAAATTACGGAGCAATTTGAACTGTCTTTGAACGTTTCAAAAGGGTAATATACTTCCCAAACAATTTCACCTGAATTAAAATAGATTTAGAGAAAAAAGTTTTCTAAGGTATAGGGTTTTCTTTTAGTTTTTGCGTAAAATGGTGCTTCGCACACGATTCTCTGAAATAATGAGTAGAAAAATTTAAAAGTTTTTTAGAGTAACAAAATATACTCAAAATCATTTTAGAGGATACGATTTTTCAAAATTAACGGATTTTTTTTTCTTCGCAAATGATGTGAAACTCCGCTTCGCCTCTGTGTAAATTGAGTCAAACTAGCGTTAAGGTTTTGAGCCCACAAATTATCTAGAATAATTTTTTGGCAAAATTAAATAGGTCTTATGGATTGTATTGATGTTGTTAACGTGCGTGGGGATGGTGTAATGTTTTGATTGAAAACTTTGGTGCGGGTAGCTTATGGCTAATACTGGAGCCAGCGAGATATGGAAACTATTAAGTTATCCCCTTTTTTGCAAAAGTGGGAGACTCGTTACTTAAAACAAAACTTACATATGCTTAAGCATCAAGTTGTTCCTTTATAGGGGTGTTAATTCGTTATTAGGGACCCTAGGGGTGGATAAAAGATAGACTAGAGTTGTCTGCCATGCTATAGTGACCAATCTAGCTAAAATAAAAATCGAACTGCAATGGATGTTACACGATCAAGAATTCTGTTTACACTCTTGCTATAAGCTAGTATTATCAAATCGGACAAAAGTATGAACAAAAAGATAACAGAAAACATCTGCAGTACTTGTGAACAAAAAATTCTATTACGTGATTTAAGAAATTTTTTATGCGTTCGGACCTTTTGTTGAGCTACTTGTTAAACGACTTCCCTTTGTTCCGACCATTGAAAATGGGGAAGAATTTTGTATTTAGTTGTGCTTTAGTTTTTCTTTTTTTTTGTTTTCCACGCAAAATCAGTTATCACAAATAACCATCGGACTATGTTGAGTGATATATCATATTAAATCCTTGTTAATCATGATCCGATTGGCATCAAAAAACGTCAAGTTTTTCTCCCAGCATTACAAGGCCAAACTGTTCACTGGGTTGGCGCACAATTCTGTGTCTGGATGTTCCTGAATTCCAGAGACAAGTCTTAAAGCAATTGAAAACTTTGTCGGAACAATCAAGCAAGATGAGAGAATAAAAAAAAGAACAATAGAGCGCGACCTTGTTGCGGAATCCACTTACAAATCGCAAGTTACACAGTTTGGCCTCGTAATGAGTGTCGAGAAAAATTAGTTTGAGTTTTTTGGTTTTAGTCTATTTTCGAGCAAGGAAAGCGATCGAGTAACGTTCGTTTTATATAAAAAATGTGAATTGAGGCTTAAAATTACGTCATTTTACTGAAAGGAATTTTAATTTTTATTTTCTATTATTTTTTTAATTTTTGAAGACAATTGTAGTCGTTTATGCCTAATTCACTAAATTCTACCGCGTTTATATAGTTCTATTATCACACGACGCACAAGAAAAGACACTAACTGAAAGTTTCTGAAAATGTGGTCGGAATTTTTCTTTCTTAATAACGGGTGATTTTTAGTTTGTCATTATTTTAAATTATAATTTTGTAAAGATAATCAGCACTATTACACACATTTTTTGGAGAAAAATTTTGATTGAAAAAGGTTTGGAGAAAAAGAAAAAAACCAAGCCCAATTATTTTATCACTTTCTTCGAAAGTACCCAAACAATTCCCTTTTTCTCTAATTTTTTTTTTTGCCACTGCAAAATGTGACCGAAGGTTCTATGTCAATTGAAAATTGACAACCATTTAAGATGACTTCAAGCTTTCATATGGTATCAGGAAAACTCCGGGACAAATTCAAAAAAAACTAGATCATAACTAAATGAAAAAAAAACTGAGATAACTATCACGTGCAAATAAGTAATTGATGTAGTAACATTCATATTCTAAAAAGGGTTAAGTTCTAATTTATAAAAGAATAGATTAACCAATCTACTTTGTTCAATTTCTATATGGGGCTCAACTGAAACTGCCAGAATACCTTAGTTCTACCCCTTGACCAAGCTTCGTCATCTAAAATTCGTCTTCGGTGCAAATCAATGGACACTTATTTTGCATTTGCTTAGGTACTAAGCAAAAAACAGTACTATCAGTTAGGACTACCATAGCTTAACTTTGGTAAAGGGAAGTTTACCTTTAGTTTGGTTCGTGTTCTTTTCACCCTGTATAAGTATTGGAATGATCTACTATCAAGCTTTTGTAACTTTGCTCATTTGCTTTTTTTGTTTCTTTATACTCATTTGAAAAATGATTTACCGCACCATTTTTTTTCACTTTTTTTTCACAAAGTAGGTCTAAGTTACCACCAAATAAGACACCTACGAAAACTGCAGCAACAACGGCTATCAGCTACGACAACCAAACCATGCCCAAAAAACCACTATCTCCCAGAGAAGTGTTCTCATCGCCCAACTAGAGCGCCTCTTCAGGCGAGTGCGAAAAATAATTACTGGCATCAATTTGAATTACAACATATGTGACTCAGAGACACTTATGGAAGAAATGCTCAGCAAATTGGAAGTAGCCACTGTCTACTCTGTAGACCATCCAATTGAAGACGGCACGAGGAAGGATCTCATTAACTGCTCCACTGAAATACAAGATGAGCACGACAACAAAATGGATGACTTGAGACAGATGCTACGGAGGATACAACGGAGACAACTCCATAGCCGCAGAATACCGATGGCAATTTACTTCAGATCCCTCACACAGCTAGTTTTGCTAACCAGCAGCACTCCTTGAATCACTCGAGAGCAGACACAACAACCCCCATTGATAGCATCGCCGTTGAACTTCAAGCTATCGCAGCAACAATTCATCCAACACTGCAGTACCCGGCTGACATTTTCGGTCAATTACTCCCAACTAAAATTGTAATCTCATATCGAAGTGCTCTCCCAGTGACATCAGACTTGACATTGCAACCCCCATAGACACCAATGAACCGGATTTTAGAACCCCAGGATAACATTTCTTAAAAAATAAACAGCACAAGCATAAAAGTTGCAACCCTGCATCATCAATGACACTTGCCGACAACCCATGCCGTCTTTTGAACAACGACTCGGATTTCAACACATAAAACAAAGCAATTTTCAGTTCATTGAACATTAACATGACGCAACAAGTATCCTACAGCCAGATGACACAATGACCGAATATCAAGATTGAACCATTCGATGGAAACCCAATTAAATTGAACAAATGGTTTGTTTTGTTTCAAGCAGAAGTTTCAAGCAGAAAAGATGACACATCTCCGGACACTGTCCACAGGCAAAGCCATCAAAGCCATCTGTGGATTTCTTTACATTAGCCAACTGTACAACGCCGCACTACAGCTAATGCATACGTTTTCTCGAAAACCACAAATTTCAACAGCTAAAGATGACAGCGCTACAGCTAATGCATACGTTTTCTCGAAAACCACAGATTTCAACACTGCCATCTTACACTGACTCACCAAGGAAACAAACACAACGGAAATTTCGACGCAAGCGGACCCCAAATGATCTTTCGATTGTTTTCCAAAGAAAAGGAAATTGACATGGTGCCACAGAAAAGATCAGTCAAGCTAACCACGACAACCGACAGAGAAAATCTTGAGGCAAAAAAACAACTCTCAAGAGCTTAGTACGCTCGAGTTTATTTTAATAAACAAAACGACTTCAGACCAACAGCAACAGACACAAGTCACTTGATCATCAATGAATTCAGCGAAACAGCGAAGACAATTTCAAACCGAGATATGCAGAAGGAAAAACTCTGGCTTTGATTTAAAACGCGATTTATAGTGAAATCTTTCGTAAGATTTCCATCACGGACGATGCTGTAAATCAACCCACCAGAAGATTCAAAAACCCGAGCCAAACCTTGGACAATTTAGCGGCAACCCAAAACAGTGAAATCACTTTTCAACAAAATAAAATGACCAAAAATTGGCCAACGAAAGCTACTCACATCAATGAAAAATTTCAAAACCAACAAAAAACAACAAACTTCAGCGCCAACATCTGATCTCAGTCAAAGTAACGGTTATTAGCCCAACAGAAAAACAGAACAACTGTAATTCTACAGAAGATAAAATCAGCGGCAAAATTGTTTCAAGAGTTTCGACAACAATCAACACGGAGTGAAAAGCCATCGTGAGGCCATTCTTTTTACTAAATTCGAATTTAAAAGGAAATTAAGATTATGGAATCAAACAAAACAACCCATTTGGACACGCCGCAGAAAACGAAAAACTACAGGAGACAACGACCCTAACAACCAATCACGCAGCGCGCAACTTGCTAAAACCAAGCAAAATCTACCAGTTACACCGAAGAAAAAAAGAAATCTACGCACCACATCCAATTATCCTTCTAACTACTAGCAGTTAAGTTTAGTCGCAAGAAAAAAATTGGACAGCAGCACTCAGGATGGGACAGGAAACAAGCAGACATAAGTTTTTAAAAAGACTCAAACAAAAGGTGGAGAATCATAAATCTTTATATGCCGAATTTCAGCAACAACAACTATCAGCAGCATAAACACATTAACCAACAACAACCATCAACATAATCAGAGGAAATTCAGTATCAACCAACAACCAGCATCAACAAGAAGAAACCCGCAACGATATCAGTACAACCGACAGTCATTATTTTAGCTTACAATCTCTCGGGCAGCCACAATTTACATTAACAGAAGTAACTCCAAAAACCATCATCGTTTAAGTTTTTCGTTTAGAAACCACCCCAACTCCCTTTTTTATTTCACTTGCAGGTGCAAAATGAGGCAGAGTTTCATATGCAAATTTGACAAATTAAAGTCATCTCAGACTACTTCAACCTTTCATATGGAATCCTGAACAAGCCGGGAAAAAACTCAAAAAACTAGATCACAACAAGCTGAAAAAAGTAAAAATGATATAGAAACATTCAAAATCTAGAAAGTATATGAGTATAAGTTAGAGTGACCAATCTACATACTTCGTTTTCTATAAACGTTCCGAAGACAATTATTTAGAAACAACATTTAGTTTGCTAAAAGAGGTGAAACGCGCTTCCCAATTACGGAACTTTAGATTGTCCCTCGAAATGGCGCCTAGATTGCGCATCTTGCTTAAGTTGTTGCCAAAAGTTCAACGGAAAGTAGCTACAGACCGAAACTGCGTTAATGCTTGAGCAATTTAAAATTTTTCTATCCTACTCACAGGTCGCGATGGCGCCAAAGTGAAAAAAACCTAAAAAAAACTTTCCGTTTAAAAATTGACTGTTAATTTTTAGAAATTTGAGCCGAATAAAAAAAACTTTTTCTGTGAGTTATATCAATGTCTGTTAATTTAAGCGATATTCTGTCAATCAGACACTTACAAAAGTAGACAGTCACCTTTTTTAAAGTTAATTCGAGTTCCTCTTGATCTATTTAAATGTCTGTTGGCTAGTTTTATAGTTTTAGGTGCTGCTCTTGATACACATACTGCAACTGTACAATTTAATTCAAAACGTGAAACAGGCTGCCAAAGCCCCGAATGTTCCGACTGCTTTTTAATGTCCATAAAGCAGTGTTCGCTTTTAAAAAAAATTATAAAGATTTTTAAAAAGTTTTCTCCTCCACCCGCTATTTAAAGGGACCAAATGATACATTTAGAATGGAGAAAAGTATTCAATCGAATAAATAACATGCCTCAATTCAAATTTTAACGTATTTTAACGTGGATTAAATCTCCGCGTACGCGTTATTAGCTCAAAAAATATCGCACTAATTGTCCCAATTGGCCCTAATTGACAATTTTAGACCTCAAAAACTTAGCGATAAATGATCACAGGTGAGTTTTTTTTAAAATACTTACACTTGCGATTAGCAAGCGTTATCAACCGGAACATTACTCAAATATGATCTCAGGGCAATAATGTTTTTCAAATGATAAAAAATTTGAATGAAAAGTCGAAATTGTCTGGAGCAAAAAAGAACTTTTTGAGCAACGTGGCATCTGCTTAATTAAATAGCTATAACAAAATTGAAAAAAAAATTGTAATTTGTGAATTGGTTTTTGATTTTTTTAGACTCAATTTACCTTCATTTTATCGAAAAAAGATGCCAATCAAAAATATCTATTGAAATTCAATGAGCTTGAAGACCTTAATTTTTTCTTTGAAACTCGAAAGTTCATTTTTTTTCAAAATCGAATGTGTCATTTTTTTGGTCTGCTTGCGTTCATTGTTGCGAAGGGATTTTTTGGCTTCTTGTTCTAATTTTGTTGCTGTGTATCACTGAGTTATGTTAGCGAAATCTAGAGCACAAACTTGATGTTTAAGATTGAGTTTCAACAGGGGATGATAGTTTTTCGAATTACTTGCGAAGGGTACATTTTCTAAATTTGAGTTTCTTTTATTGTAAAAAAGATCTTTAAAAATTTTGCGAGCTTTAGATAGCTATAGTATAATAATTTGTCCTATGAAATCCAAAAACTTAAAAAAGAGTAAAAATGTAGTTTGTTTTTTCATTTCATCAACATTTAACTGTTGATTGGCTGTTTGATTTTTCCCCATTCCGTTCATGACAATTAATTTGACTAAAATGTTCAGTGGCTCAGCTCATACTTTTTGCCCCGTTTATTCCCATATAATTTTTTACAAGCAGATCTCTTACTGATATGAGCTCTGATATCTTGAAATCGAAAAAGACATTAATTTCTTGCAAAACTTTTGTTTTTTGCACCACAGGCACAGCGCACAGTTCCGGGTCTGCGCTATATTTTCCATGTCATATTTTGAGCATCAGAGCCTGACTTTTGCACGAACTTTCGGTCCTGTGCATTCATTTAGTGAAAGAAAGAATTCCACCTTCACTGAGTTATGATTGCAGAAACCAAATACCAAGCTCCCGCAAAGCTTCCTGAATTTTCAGAAGTCAAAAGTGAAAAACATTAGCAAGTCATGAGCGGTTGCGCTTTTTTCCCAAAAGCAGACTAGCCGTAGAGTTTTACATAACTTTTAGGGCTGCAAGTTTTCGAAAATTTCCTCGCAAGCACTTTTTCTAGCCCTGAAATGGCCTGCAATGTCCTTTTTGTAAAAATCTTTTTCACAAAAAAATCCTTTGCATAACAATCAAAGGCTGTTCTGTTTTCTCGAGCGGTGGCATGTCCGAAAAAAAATTATGTCGACCTTTTTTATATATGGATCAATCTTGCTTTCTGAGCTGTGATGAAACGCTTTAAAGGTGCTATTTAGGGGAATACGTTCTACGACTCAGACAAAATGTGAAAAAATGAGACAAAGCTGCCATTTTGGGACAAGTTTGAACTTTTGGACAAAAAATGGAAATCTATGTCGTGTTTTACCTTCATCGTATAGTAAATTTTGGCGCCGTCTGCAAAAAAAATTTCAGATTGATCGGCTAAAAATGCATGTCGCAAAAATGCACAAATCGAGTCCCTCTAGACGACGAGGGTTCAAAAATAGTCTTTTGGAAGGCGAATGGTTCAATTTTCCGAGGATGCGTCCGCCGCAGTCATTCGGTTTAACTTGAGAGATGATGATTCTTTCTCTCATAGTTACCTAGTTAAACGTTTTGTTGAGTCATTCTGAATTAAAGCTACGAAGTTTCTTGATTTGGCTGTGTTGAAACCATGGTTTATACAGCAAACTATATACGCCAACTCACCTTTGGCGAACATGCGTACAAATATCGATAGTTCAATAAGAATGCATAATGTTAGCCATGCTGTATATAAACTAATATTGACTCTGAACTGTTATTAATTTTGCATTACTGAACCGATGAATTGATTTGGTTTAATGGTTACCACCTTACTGTTGGAACCTGATCTAAACTACATTTTATGATTGGATAAATTAGATATTTTACCAATGTAAAGTATTTAATATTAACCAATCATGATCCATCTAACTAACAACCCACTTATTTGTAAGTGCTGAAATTACTTGTAATTTCAGCACCAGAGAGATTTGAATTTAACTTAGAAATTAGTTGGACTCTCCCGAGCACTTCAGCAACCGCAATAAACCAGTATACCCTAGATCTATTGAGCCTAGCAGAGACTAGTTAAACAACCTGAGACTAGATAGTATAAGAGTAAGATTAGGATCGGTATTAGACTAAGAAGTTGCACGAATCTATCCGGCCGAAAATAAGATAGCGTGACGAGCAGACGGTGTACCCTATCCGAAATTACTCTATGAGTTAACCACATCGGTCCTAACTCATCTGGTGCGACCATAAGTCTCGAACAAGACCTTAATAGCTTAGAATTAACCAAAATAGATTAGAAATTAGACAAAAACATTTACAAAATGTTATACGACAATAATTTAATCGAAATGTCTCTACGACTCAATAGATCAGAGCCAATATTCCGAACCATAACAGAACTACCCGGAATTGGAAGAAGACCTCGAACCAGAGACGACATACGACAAAGAAGAAACTTGCCATATAGCTATATGATAGTTAGGCAAAAACCAGAACAAACTTTTATATTTAGAATACTACTGGCAATGAATTTAGATTTTCATTTGCAAACATAAAACCTTGAAGTTAATCTTCAAAATCATTTCAGGCGCTAAACAAAATTATTAATATACAATAACGATTGATAAAAAGATCTCAGATCGTTTTCCAAAATTCTGCAGTAATATACAAAACATGTTTGAAAAATATTTATTGAAAAATAAAAAATAAAAATTAGTAGCATGACAATAAATGGTTAGTAATCATAAATCATCCTGTTGTTCCAGCTCCATCATCTAAAACATAACAGCAATCATAAACCCACTAATATCATCAAAACACTAAATCTTTCCTTTACACACATTTAAAATTTTATTAAAACTTAAATTCACTTAATTTTAAAACCAGATCATCAAGGCTTATCCTTGGATCTTAAATCATTTTCTACTTAATTAAATCTCAAATTTGATCATCAAGGCTTATCCTTGGATCAAACAGAACAACTTTGTTCTCCCCCACCCACTTAATTAGTGTCTAACGACCTCAAACGTCGATTCACTACCCAACCCTTTCTAAAGACCTAAGACTAATAGAAATTTTTAAACAAAACTAATCATTCAAATTAGGATAAACAGTGAAGAACTTCGGTTATTCATCCTTCACTTGACCCCCCCTCTTACCAGACCCAGGATAAATCTTAGACTTAGTAAGTTTAAAATAGTATCTAACGAACTACTCGCGTTCTAATTATACCTGAACCTTGTGGATCGATTTACTATTCTCCAACCCTTGAACACAATCACTACCCCTAAGTAAGATTAAGTAAGTTAACACCTTAACTTATACTAGCCACGAGAAAGTAAAAAATCATTCTTCGGAATCGATATACTTTTCTCTCCAACCCTGAACAAACAGACCCAGGTTAAGCTAACCAAAAAATCGTAAGAACTAACAGTTTAAGAAAATAGAAACCATTTAACAACCCTTTGCATCCGTCATTCTAAACCTTATGTCATTTAAAAACCTAGGAAATAAACAAACAATCGTTTTACACAATTGTGAAATAGATAACAAAAAATACGACCTTGTAATCACACCTCATACACAAACAGTTGGATACATTCGAACAAAACGACAAACACTAAAAAGAAAAATAATAACGAAACAAAGACAAATAACACGAAAAAGATTTTCAAAAAACCGAAACGCATTTTCAGAATCAGAAACCAACAGTTTAGACGAACTTTACAAACTAAAAGAATCAATAGATAAAAATTGCCCACTTCACGATCAATTATATTTTTCTGACTCAGAAACAACTTCAAATTCATCAAAAAGAGGAAAAAGAAGAATAAAAAAGCAGTATAAACACAAACCAGTACATTTATATAATTGGAATCAACCAATTCGACACATTAATAATTACATATTAACAGTCATCGAACGAAAAAATGAGCTCAACGCACACCCCAGGTGAAGAAAGTCCAGATGATGATGAAATCTTTCCTTTTATAGTAGATGCAACCACTGATAGAGGACAGCATATATTTTGCAAAAATTTACTATTAAATTTATTTGAACCCGGAATTAGTCCATGTAAAACAGAGTTCCCAGATGTAAAAATCAAAAGACAAATCATAGACCACTACTTAAAAGATATATGCAACATAACACAACAGTATGGAATCTACTCCATAGAATTCACCTCACCAAACCATAATAATAGAAAATATACAATTCAAACAGACGATCTTGATTTAGAATTTTCAAAAGTTTTTTCAGAATATATAAAAAGCATCCAATATCATAACTCACAAAGAGCAAACTCCATATTCACCAATGAAGTTTTCGCAATAATATATAGTTATATTTCGATATTAGAAAACGAAATCCCAATAACAAATGTCTCACCGACAGAAACATCTAAACATTTGAAAGTACGACATGAAATCACACTACTCTCTAGTTATTTAAACATCATTAAAGAAAATTTCACGAAAGATGACGTTTCACAACATACAAAACACGATCTACAAAAAATTTTGGCATGGTTCATAATAGATTATTTCACACACAATATTGATTTAATTGCACAAGCAAGAAAAAATTTTAGACCCCAAAACTCGAACGATGATACCGCTATCACAGAACAATCAGATTATGTTTGGGACCCCGAATGGTCTCATCCCGCATTTATAAGCTTCCCACAATCAATCTCAAGTCAAGCAATAAGTACGATATCTTACATAAGAGATTATGTAAAAGTAATACCATTAACCATTGATGCGACACCATTAAACTATAATACATTTTTGCCCGATACACAAAATAATAGTTTAAACTCTACAGTTATACACAATGAAAACCTCAATGGAACTAGAAATCTTACTCAACAAGATATCCAGACACCATCACACTTCATAAATGAAGAAATTGTACACACAACAACTACACAACAAAGTATTTCACCAATACGACCAAATTTAACAACACCAAGAAATACAAATCCTTCACAAACACAGGTAACCTTACAATCAACCGTTAAACCTTCGGTTGCCCCTAAATATTCACATATGGATTACCAAACATACAGACCCATGACAATACCATCAAAAACACGCAAAACATTCACTAGAAACAACTTTGCAGACCATAATTATAATTATACACATCCATCAAAAACATATAACCAACCACAAAGAAATTTTAACCAATATACAAGATCTCGAAATTGGGATAACCCAATGACCCAACCTAATTCAATAAATTTCCAAACAAATCCTCCACAGGATCACAGTGAAAATTACCCATTTTTTCAACAAAATAAAAATAAAAAACAGACATCTTATCAAATGGATTATTTATCCTCAGATGATGATTTCTTACAACCAGATATATTTGCACCAAATACTCAAGAATATCGTAGACAAGGAATACAGAGAACACGTACAAATCATAGAAATTTTTCTCCACAACCAATAGATGCACAACATCAACAACCAATTCAACAACAAAATCTAATTAATACACAATCTTTTCAACCAATTCAACAACAAAATCCAATGACTGCACACTCGTATCAAGCATCACAAATGCAAAATGAAATACCACTCCCATATTATCTCCAACAACATGAAGTAACAAGAAACCAACTTTCGAATTTTTCTCAAATGCCAAATGCAGCAGAATCATTACAAATGACAATGAATCCATACCTTATGGGTGGATCATCAATAACATCAAACAAACCTTTAATGGTTTTCACAGGAACAGACCCTGAATACTCTGTAGAAGATTATTTAAATGCAGTAACAGCAAACCTGATTTTAAATATTGGACCTGAACCAATTAATAGCCACTACATCAAAACTGGATACATCGACGCACAGCGTTAATACAAACAACCTTAGATGGCGCAGCCCAAAAATGGTTTTCAGTACTACCTCTAGAAATAAAATCAAACTGGAAAAGGTTTACACAGGAATTTTCAAAAATGTTTGACTCCGAAAGAAACAAACAACAACAAAGAGTTTTATGTAATGAAATTCGCAGATTACCAAACGAAACCATCAAGCAAACAGCAGTACGAATCGAAACACTAGTTCGAAAAGCATATTCACTAAATACACACGACTATAAAAACACAAAGATGACAGAAATCTTAATGATGACCTTAACACCACAATTAAGGAAAATAGCAATAAAAAAGAGAGCATCCCACCCTTCTTCAATTCGAGAACCCGATTTAGATTTTCGAAAACTAGTAGACAAATTAGAACAAGCAGAAATCACGATGAAACTAGAAGAAACGGAAAATCTGAAATTACAATACGTTAACAGAATTGAAACGACTCCCACTAATATTAATAATATACAGGAATCAGAGACAGACCTCGTTGAAAAAATCACTGAAATACTCAATATTTACGAAAAGAACCCAAACTTTAAAGGCAAACCATCTTTCAAAAAATGGTGTAATTATTGCCGACGATACGGACATAGTATTTCCGAATGTAGACAAAAACAGCAAGACAATCAAAATAAACCTCAAAAATATAAAGAACCAAATAAATCATTCTATCAATACATGAAAAAAGATCAAAATCTACCGAACAAAACAGTTTACAGCAACAACAGTTCAGGAAAACCACTCCCGAACAATACAAATTATACAAGAAATCAATCACCATATAACTCAAGTTATAGAGGAAGATCACCAGAACGAAGAAACACGCATAATTCATCACAAAATCACTACAATAGACCATATAGTCGAAATAACTACTCCAGATCACATTCAAATACACAACGATTTGTTTCTAGATCTAATTCCCAATCAAG